GGCTTGATCAAAGAAGACTGATGCCCAAGATCACCTGGAGCATAGCTGAAGGCAGACCAAATCCACAGAAAAGATAACCAACCAGGCATTGGCTAACCCATGGCACTGCAATGTGGAGATCTTTCCTTTTTTCATATCCCTGATTTTGAGAACTCTGAGAAATACTGGCGACTATGGGCGGCAAAGCTGTTGCGCTTAAGCGCCAGAGCCCAGCCGCACGTTTTATTTTCGGATGCAGTTTTTGGTGGTGCGGTAATGTTTTGGAACGTTTCAAAAGTAAGATGCAGTTCAATTATTCTGCCAGAAAAATTGGAACCCAAGAAATTCAGTGGGAAATTTTTGGACGGGTCCACAGTACAATTTTTGAGGTTGTTTTGTGTCCTACCTCCATCAAGGAGGTAGGACACATAGCAACCATTCCATTATTCAAAATGTAAATAAATATGCAGGGCAATGACAATAATCAAACACCAATTGTTTCAAATGCTACTTCTTCCCAGCTCAAGGACAAAAAAATAAATACTGCGTCAACAATCAAAAAGAGATGACGTGCGGAATTATTTCCGAGAACTGAGTCCATTATATCCAAACATCATGGAAGCCGAAGTTGCTGATTAATTTTGGAAAGAGGATTCGAGCTGTATCAAACCATTGAAAAGGTTCATTGTCAAGGATGAACCTCACTATTCCCAAGAATCCTAACTCTCTTATACGGATATCACATGTACAGTACAGTACTTTACATAGTACAAACTACGGTATACTATCATATTTGCTGTCAAAATCGAAGGGGCAGAAAATGCGGAAATCGCTGCGATGGAGAGTTCAAAGATGTCGTTGATGTTGGAGTGGAAAAACTCCCACTAACATCTCCATCAGCAGCAACAAAAACGTTTCATGATCCGAAATCAACGAAGGCAACGGAAAAACAGCAGTAATGAATACAATCAGCGAATAAATCATCGAATAACGCGCCGTCAACTCTCTCGTCACGGAACAAGTCGTTAAAATCTACATCGTCATGACGTGTTCATCCAGCACTTATTTCAATGCACGCGGCCATGACATGATCTTCAAGAGTACACCGACAATACTAATGCAGTAGGTAAATCAAAACGCTACTCTCTATATGATCCAGGAACACTGCACTTATACTCAGAAAATTACGCGAAGCGCCGAGCCACTTTATTTATAGCAATGCAACATTCATAGCACGCGTACATTTCCATTCAGTATGCGCGAAAAATATCCGATTGCAAACCCTACATTGACGTGCATGTATGAATGATCACACACGCATCCTCAATTACGTTCTGTGCATATTGCACAGTACTCGGGAAAATAGATTTCAATATAAATCGCACGCTCTGTGCACATCACAGCTCTCGCGCGGACAACCATAGAGTACATTATACAGTATACAGTACAGCTAGTAATGATCAGAAAAGCACAGCAATATTCGCCCTTCCATCCCATTAAAAAATCCCTGCTTTATGGAATACTGTATAGATAATATTTCCGTGGACGAATAGTAGCCGACCTGAGGTCGTGGCTCACTCGGTAGAGTATAATTTACCCGTAATAAGTTCACAAGCAATTTCTCAATTTCGAATCAAGGCTTCAAAATATGCGAAAACCATTATTTTGCGATTTTTTGGTCCAAACTGATTCTTCACCGAGAGCATCTGATTTTTTTTTTTAAAGCAATACTCTAGTTATAAATCTCTTGAATTTGAATTTTTACAAAATTGATTTGACAGCTTAAAAATCGAGCATAAAAATCTAGGTTATTCTTGCGGCTGAATATAATTTAAAAATAACACGCATCAGCGTGTATATTTCTCAAAACGTGGATGTTTTAAAATTTTAATGAACTGTCCTACAATTCCCAGCTAAAAGTATATGTTTCTCGACGTGGAACACTTATGCCTGATACTAAATTTGGAACTTGGGATTGTTCCGGGCATGAAAAAGTCCTTGGCCTAGGCCATTGATGCTACGCCAGCCTTGTTCCCCAAAGACGTGGGTTTCCCGGTGACAATTTCAATGATAAACCAGAATTACGTTTTTTCCCTAAATACAAGTAATAGAAGAGTTGAAGTCACCGCATTTCGGAAATTCAAAAACTAAAACACTGAAAATCATCTCTGAAAAATTGTAAACCTGGAAAGTGGAGAGCATGATGACGGCTGCATTCTCAATGTTCGCCCTTGAACTGATTTGAGTCTGGACTGAGCGAATCTTTAATCCTCATAAGCGTCAACACTACATATGATTTGGATTTACGAAGGTGTTGGACCATGGATTTTGAAAGGATACTTATGCAAACATATGAAAATGAACCTGGATTTTTTTTAGAGTTTCAGAGGCACATCCGGTAAATTTCATGTCCAATGAATCGCTGGCACTCAACTTTTTCCTACATTGGCAGCCTTTTCACAGACTGTCTACCAAAATGACAAGGGACTGGTTGTGATGAGAGGAGATTTGGACGCTGCAGAAAAATTGGGAAATTCAACAATGCAAAAGAAGGTTTCAAAAAACTACCCCACTCCAATGGCAAAGAAAAGTAATTCCCAAAAACCAAACTAAAATTAGAAAATTATAGACAGCAAAAAAAATGTTCCTCTGGGCTACGAGTCATCCAGCTATTCCAGCAGTGAATCTGACTGGAAAATATCGTCTCTCAGCAGAGACACTTTTACTCCATGCATATAAAGAAAGGTTTTCTGTATGTTCTCGAAAGATAAAACTCGTCGGATAAGGTATCATTCAGATTAACGCAGGAATTGATGACAGCAAAGTTCGTTTGCCTCTCATGATACTTGATATTTGATTTACATTGCCCTTCAGAGTTTAGACGAACCGATCATTAAAGAAAGTATATTTTGTTACAACAAAGAACAAACGCATCGAAACATATCGTAACAGAAACACTTGGCAGACTTAACGCGGCGTAATGGAAATTGAGTGAACCTGTGAAGTATGAACAAAAACGAAGAATGAATAACCTCGAATTAAGACGAACTCACGACGAAAACCAGCCCAGAATGCACGAAATTGAGCTTTCTCCAGCCCATGTTTCTCTGATTCCGGCCATCCGTCGGAAAACTGATTCTTCGCCAGTTCTCATCAGTTGAATTCAAAAGGAAGCACCTGCGACACCTCTCCTCGTGATCCGAGAAAAATTGAAGAAAAAGACGCGAGCTTTTCACCATCCACTTCTTGCAGAAATGTTTTTCAACAATGGAAAATTTTCCAAGGAGTAATTTTCTCCTTGCGCAAAGATTTTGAAGGCACAGGTACACCGCGTATAGTGAAGAGGATAGTCACTGAAATAAAAAATAAGTCCCAAAAACTGAATGAAATCACACAGTTCGAGTCGCTCAACACCGAACTTTTTCCAACTCGTTCGAATACACCCGTTTTATTCATTTCCATCATTTCGACAGCGATTCTCCAACAAATTCGCATTTCTTCGGGTATGCCACCACCTCAACATAACTGTACACACTTGTGCCGAGATAATTTCCAATTGCTCCATACCACAAAACGTCACCAATACTCTCGGGAGACCAATTCTAAAATGAACCTCATGCAGAAGCCTCTGTCCTGCAAGACCGAATCCGAAGCCTTTTCACAAAAAGAAATTCCAGAAAAGAGAAGGCTAATATGCTTTCGGATGTGCGAGTTTTTCCTCTAAAATGATCAACTGAACATACGGGAGCAGTTCTCAGAGATGGTGCATAGGTCGGAACACTTCGTCATACCGCCCCTAGCGACACCTAACCAGACAGGAAGAACTGAAAAAGGCCAAATAGAATGTCCATTCCATAGAAGAGAGTCTGGATGACTCGAATACAGTAGCAAGCGGAGTGAAGCAGAACTGGCCAAAAAATCGCGTTTCATCAGTGTCCGCGACTCCGCGTTTAGTACACCGTTCATTTGTACACGTCGAATCCACTGCCAATTCGGTCGAGCAGCTGCTCAGTTGACTGCTCAATACTTTCTTCTCAAGTTGGCTGGCGCAACTGAACCCACTTAAATTATGCAGTGAACCTGCTACAACCTGCCAGTGATGCTGCGCCGTATACCAGAAAGATCACCCGTTTCGCCCCGGTGTGGGCGGCACAGCGTACTCCCCCCAAAATCGTACTCCAGGAGTGCACCCTGCCTAGGCAGGATGCACTCCAGGAGTACACCCTACCTAGGCAGGGTGTACTCCAGTGTGCACTATGCCGTCCGGCGGGTCTATTCAAATCCGCGGAGTGAAGTTCCATGGTGAACACATGCAGTAGTTCTTTCAACGAAATTCAGAGGAGAGCCAATTCCATCTTGTTGCAACGAATCTTGTTCATGCTTCGGAGAAATGTCTTCTTCAGTCCCTGCCCCAACATTCTTATTTAAATTTATTTTTGATGAATTTTCGTATATGACAAAGCATTTTCAAGGTCTGAAACACTTTCTTGTCCAAAGTTCTACTGTACTTTTGCATTAATTATTAACTAACATAACCTGACCTTATAATTGGGGTAAAGAGGATTCATTTTTGAGAGCCACACATGGATGCTGCTGATAACATTCTGTGTGTTGTTCTTAGCAACATCTATGAGAGCATTGGTTTGGGCATGGCTCCCCCCAAGTGGGATAGCTCCAAGGCCTCTCCTGAAAATAGATTTCCGCAGAATTCATCATTATTTTTGCCAAAGTAAATGCTGCTTCAAGAATCACTGTGGAATCAACTTTCCTCTGAATTCTGTGGATCTATGGTGACGTATTCACTAGTGACGTCTTCTCGGAGAGCTGAATCGCACTCCGCGGATGTGGACTAATCCTCCTGCAGGGGGAGTACGCTGTACCTGGGGAGTACGCCCTGCCTGCTACACCGGGTCTCCGAAAGAAAAAATAAAAAAAAAACCGAAGGTCGTACCTATCTCATTCTTTTCTCAACAGAGAGCCACCGATGCTATGACGTTTCACTAGATGTCGTTGTTCCAAATGTGCCCATATGTGGTTGCAACACCATTGAAGAGATTTACAGGACAGTACTGCCTAAAAAGCTCACCGAAAGTGCATTACTCAACAACGGATCACCCATGAATCATCCTCACTTCCAATGTTATCCCAAACGAGATTTCTCGATACAGATTGACATTTCATCACGGTTCACGTTGAATTTACGAAAACTCCATTCAATGCTTCCAACCAAGCTCCTTTATAATAGCTTTCTCCTTCCGACACCGGAAGTACGGAACAGTTCGATAATTTCGGGAGTGCCCACAGAAACTCCAGAAACTGAAAACAATTTTTCGACATTTCATCTCTTCCTCGTTGCAGGCAGGTTCACTCGCACGAGGAGAAAAAAATCCGCCGTAAAGCAAGCACAATGACAGCACATGTTTTCCTGCAAAAACTGATCACCACTTCGCCGTAGTGGAAAATATTCCCTCCGACCACTAATAATCATGAGTTTCCAAGAGTTCGTCAAAAAATAAAAAATAAAATCAGGTCCGTCAATTAGGCTCTTCTCCGTCACTGAAAATCAGCGTTGATCATCAGCATTTAATGCGATTTTTCCCATTTCGGCCTCAAATGAAGCACAGAATAAAAGGAAGACACCCCATTTAACGAGTAACGAACACAAACCTACAAATATTGTAGTAGATGAGCCTAAATTTTTGCGCGTGAAAGTAGATCAACCATCTATGCCTGATGATCAAGACTCAGACCCCAGTTTCTTCGACTGGAAAGCGAAGTTTTCCTCGAAATACTTTTCAACACGATCAAACACAAATGGTACAAACTAACAAAAATTAGTAACGAAAGATTTGTTGGGGGGGGGGGGGGGGAGTAAGGAAATGCTGTCGGGAACCAAGCCTCCTGTTCGAATATTTGAAGTCAGTTTATTGCATTACTACATGGGTTAATTTTTTAGACATCATTGTCATTAACGGTATGCCTCGCATTAATTAGTATTTCTCACAACGTGGGTGTGAGCACTGTGAGGAGCTAAGAACTCAAATTTTTTGCTCCGATTTATCAGTTTAAAAAGGCGCGCAAGATACTCGAGCAACTGAGGCCACGAGTTTCGTCTTCGTGACAATTCGCGTGCAGATCAGAAAGCCGGTTCAAAATGCCAATTTTTGAGAACAGACCACTTTTCTTCTAAGAGCAGTTTGTGGGAGCTGAGATCACGTTCATAGGCTTGGAGATAACTTCCCACCTCCGCTTCCCGGGACTGTGTGTAAGGCTCATCGGCACACAGGATTGTTTCGATTATCACAATCCACGTCTTGCCAGTTTCGTTGAGGAATGTTTCATATGTCTGAGATGAAGAATAAGCACGACTCCATCATCAGACTTAAATTGCACGCAAATTGAATTCCACTGACCATACACATTCACTATCCAGTACATCAAGAAGAAAAAAATACTCACTCGCATAGTTTCCCGCTTAGCTAAATCACAAAAACGCTGGATTTCTCCCATGAAGACCTTCAATTCCGGTTCATTCAAGTTATGCTTTCTCAGCATAACCAGTTTTGCCAACTAAAAATACGTAGAGTTGAAATCGCATTCACCAAACGAAATGGAAGAAACGGCCTTCTTACACAGACTTCGGTGGGGCTTTTACGCTATCCCAACTTTCCATCACAGGATTTCCGTACATTCGGTAATAACCCCGTATATAGATTTACGGGACTCACCTTCTTAAGCTTACGTTCAAAGCGGCTTTTGAAATCAGACGAAATTCTGTTATCTTCCTTCGATTTTAATATCAAAGCGGCTATTGCTCCGATGAGATTTATACGGTTTGAGATACTGTTGAATTCCGTCCAGTTCAACGTCTTGAACGTCATTTCGGATTTTTCGTCCTGCTGATTCTCAATCTCGTCCAGAAATATCAAAATGAACGACCCATCCGCAAAAACTTTGTTGATCATCCACGCAGGTGAAGACTCCGTCTTATCTATGAATGAATAAGACACAGCAAATCAACACATAGCACGGGCTCTCAGATATTGTGATTCAGACATGAAGTTGAACGCAGATTTATTGGTGGGATTGAGAATCGTGGCATCAAAAAGGGGTTTCATCAAGAAAACATAATCAGAACAACGAGACCTGACCTGCACAAGAAATTATCAACAATATAAGTCCAAGTTCAAAATGAGCAACAAGAAAGGTATACAAATAGTTGCCACACACAGTTCTGCTAGCTGCCACATGTAACAGACATGGAGGAAATCCATTTGCTTTTTGGCAACGTTTTTCTGTACATATCGCACTTGTTTCTAACTCCTCATTTAGACCCCCTTTTTAAAACGGACAATTTTTCTCGGTCCTGAAATGCAAAATTTAACGCACTTCGAACAAACATTTTTCCACATATCTACATCCCTTTTCAACGAATCACCAGCCATGAGATGTTTACACACTTTTGCAGCAACATCAAATTGGAAAGTAATTACTGAACAGACCTAGAAAGACCATCTCCATCGTTTGAGATGAAAGATTTTGACATCAGGGAAGGGGTTTAACGCTCAAAAGATTTTGAAGAACCCTATATGGTACACACTTCCCGTGTTATCTCATGACACGAAGCAAAGGGTGGAAATATAAAATAAAACGTCTACTGAAGACGTACAAGTTGCACTTGATGATGGTATACAGTATACTCTTTTCCCAGCGATTATAATATTTCGCAAGGGGTGAAGAGCGTTCATTCGAGACCAACGCTATACTTCATAGTATTATTTGCGCGATTTTCATCACGTATCCTTCGTCGACAACCGACATACGTTCGACCCCTCAAATGACTTTCGGTCGCGAATGAAACCTACATGATGATGACCATACATAAAATGGAAAAACGCAGTTTACCCATCAACTTGGCGTATATTTTCGAAACATCGTGATCCTTGTCGAAGAATCTTTCCTTTTCGGCAGTCACCTCCCGAAGAGCGGCATTGACTTCATCTTTGTATCGATGGGAATACAAAATTGGAGCTTTGCATCGCGGACAAACTCTCGGTCCAGTGACTTCCAATGGCGTTCGCATCCACTTGTCCAATCCATCAGCTTCAAGCACGTGATTGCACTCTTCAAGCCGGACAAATCTGACGGGGAAACCAATATCATACCAGAAGGTCAAAGCTTACGTCTTTTTGTTCAGAACTACGAACTTCATGAATTGCACGCACAGATGACGACCTCTTGTGCATCACCACATTTCCAACAAGATAGGGGGACCGAGCAAAATATTTATGTAACAATAAAGAATGCCAATCATCGGATTCTACCTCAGATCATACTACAGTATAATATAGTGAAATCATAATTACAAATTGTACCCATCTGAAGAAGACCCACTACGCGTCATCAGCATTTTAAATCATTCCAAACGATCTTTTCATTTCAACAACATGTATTATAGCGACGCCTAGCAAACTTGAGTTCTTATTCCACACGCAATTACAGTTCCAAAATTGTACCTGGCATTCGGTTCTTCGCAAGCGCTGTTTGTTGTCAAGTTGAAAAAGTCCACTGCATCTTTTGCGCATTCTCGACACGGCGGGCAGATTTCTCCGCAAAATCCGACGCATTTGTGCCGACAATCCAGTACTTTTTCACACGGTTCGTTGCATTTATCATCACCTTTGCCACAATCCTCGGAGCATTTGCGTTTGCACGGCTTGTGGCGGCAACCGCTTAAGCATTTCTCCTGCAATAAATTCATGATTCCATTTTATAAAAGTCACAAATTAATTTATTCCAGGAATACAAAATACGGTATATACAGGTGGACCTTCTCTGCAACTACTCAAATTAAGGGACCGGAAAGTAACTCGTTATAAATCCCCATGATGGGTATAGAGAACCCTTTCGGAACCAGAAGAATTTATTATCCCAAATGCATCATGGAAGTTTGCTTCGGACCTTGGAATACGCTTTGACGCTAACTGAAAGTCTCTGCAGGAATGTTTGGGTTTAGTATACGCTATTCGCTTCCTATCATGCAAATGCTCATTTATAAGCAGCGTTACGGTACACTGTATACGGTGTACAGAACCAAATTGATTATTGGAAAATAGGAAAATAACATCGCAATTTTGGTACGGTACAAGGTGCTCTACTTGTCCTCTCGGAGGTGCACTTGCTGATATAGAAATACACTGATCTGCACACATTTCAAAATAAGCCTGATTGAATTACAGATGCAGTTTGATTACTTGAACCTCCCTCAGTTGAATATTTTTCAAGTCAGAGTCGGATTTCCCTATAAAAACAATACATTAAAATTTTCAACATTCAAAGTCTTACCGCCTATAAAACCTCCAAAACTCAAACTTCTGGAGGCCTTTAATTGATACAGATGAGAGAAAAGTTATAAAAATGTAACCTCATATGGATTTGAGAGCAAGCAGAAGGATAATTGGGCAAATGAAACATTGCCTCCAAGTAAGTTCAGCATCCTGTCAACTCATTTGAGAAGCAATTTGAGGCCTAGAATGCTGTATCTCCAAATACTATATACTGTATATATATATACTGTATATATATATACTGTATATATATATATATATATATATATATATGCTGTATATTTATATATATACAGTATACAATACTTTCAGTCAATTTCATATTGGCTTTGAAATTTACATACAGTATACTGTATCTTACCGAACACGGAACGCAACGTTCCCAGCACAGCCTACCACAAACAGAATGTGGACACGCAATTGCGCATCGTTCTTTGCATGGCAAGCATTTCAAGCAACAATTGGCTGTGCAAATATGTCCACAAACAAGTCGTCGTCTACACGGCTCCTTGCAAGGCACATGGATACTGCCCCTGAAACACTGATAACATTTTCCAACACACGCATGCCCGCATGACAGAATTTTTCCACACGGATAAGAGCAATACTGCATTTTATCGTCGGCAGACAGTCGAAGGCTGCTGGTTGCAATGTGACACGGCAGTCTTTCTTGATGTCCACACCTGAACGAAACGACCATTTATATGCCCAGGAAAACTGTACCAATGTCTGCCGCAACGATACTCACTTTCCGACATTCCCGGCTACCTTCATCATGACCGAGCACTTGGTAGTACATTCGTTGCAACACTTTTCTGCGCACTTGTGTCCGCATGGCAACACTTTTTCGCATTTTCTTCCACAATCTCCCTTTGTGGGAGCTTGGAAGCAAGGCAACTTCACGGAGTGTGAGCAGTCAGGGATCACTTTTTCCACCTCAATGAGACAATCTCCGCAGTCTTCCACACACATCTTTTGGCATTGGTGGCCACAAGACAAAATCTTGTCACACTGTGAAAAATAAAGTAAAGGCATCAGCAGCTACTACAATATATAAATTAAAGTTGAACTTTTAGCATGAAGAGAAATACGACGGTTTGCTGTAATGAATTTGAGCAGAGGAAACTTTCTTCACATCCAGCCTTGTTGTTCTTTACGACACTGTTTGAAGATCTTTTTTTTCAACTGTAGTGATTGGAGTCGAAGCGTAAGGTTTTGTAGATGTAGGTACACTGTTTTACTAGAGTGCTCTACCGGCGTACCATTTCTAACATCCAATACTTCATCGCATGGAGGACAAGGATCTTCATAACAAAAGGCTGTAAAAAATTCCAGGATGAAGCCATTATAATGCTCAACGCAGTGAAGAAGAACACTCGACAAATCAAACGTACTCCACAAACATAGTGCTCATTCCAATGATACACTGTACTAATTAGCATTTTTTCCCAGCTGATTATGAGTGTTGCGAAATGAAGGGACTAAAAAAAAGACTTCTGATCAATTTCAGCCATTTTCGATTTATAAAAAATTCAGCACTGAATTCTTCCAGAAGACCCGACAGAATCGGTAGTTCACTATACTGGATCAAAACTTTCAACAATAGCTTTTCATTCCACATCAACTCATTTACCAAGTTAATGATTGTTACTAGCTGAAAATTGATTCAAAGCACAGTACCATTCATTTTTTGGGTGCCTGAATATAGCGGTTTCATGAAGAGTCATGTTTCAAGAATGTCGTCTTCCGAGCCCTTCGATTACGTGTTCTTATATATGGACGTGTACCTACAAGAGACCCTGTGCTAAAGGGTGTTCCGAAGGTTGTGAACCTATCTTGTACGAAACCCAGTAGAAACTGCACCGTCCTAAAGAGCGTGCGTACGGGTGTTTCTAGCCTGATGCAGCACTTCACCTGGCATTTTACCTGAACGCATTTTGAAGTTGGAAAAACATTTAATATACAGTACATCAATTCAAAAAATCTGAATAAGGAGAATCAGAATGTCATACTGTATGTGGGTACAAATATTTGTCTGAAATGCTTGTCATATACAAAAACATACCTTTGCGACATCTTCAAAGCATTCCATCTCTTGCAAATGCATGCAAGGATCCAGCGACCGCTCTACTTTCTCGGTACATGGAGGACACGGCATCTTCCCACATATGGATTTGCATGCATGCTGGCTTTCACGCGAGAGACATTTTCTTTCGCACGGCTGCCTGCAAATTCCTGCTTCGGTTTTGTGTTCTTTGTCTACAACATGACAGAGCCGTTCGCATAAATGACCGCATGACGCAATCACTTTGTTGCAAACCTGTATTACATAGAAACGACGCGAAGTTACGATTCACTTCACATGCAAAGTTGAAAGCAAAGAATCAAGGGTATGTACAAGTACTTAGTTGAATATACTAACTCTATTGCAACCTCCACTGGCAGGAAATTGATTGGGTTTGAGAATGAAGATGACCTCATCAGGGTGGTTTTGACATTGTAGTGGGAGTGCTCTTCCAATCTGATTCTCTTTCAGCAAGACATGCTCAATGTTTCTCCAAATTTCGCTTCCAGAACTCAGCGCATCCATGTTTCCAATCATGAATAGTCCTTTTTTTGCACGCGATATGGCAGCGACATCTCGACTGTCAGTCTTTGAAGACACACAAGAATATATACCTGCACATGGATGTTCTCTGGGACACGATTTCCCACAAGGCTTCCAACACTTGGATAGAACATGCTTTGGGTCATCTTTGACGTGGCAGGATTTCTCGCACGCATGCCCACACTCCAGCCTGATGGAGCACTTCGTCTCGCATTTTACCTGAATGCATTAGTTGGAAAAACATTTAATATACATAAATTCAATAAATCTGAATAGGGAGAATCAGAATGTCATATGTGGGTACAAATATTTGTCTGAAATGCTTGTCATGTACGAAAACATACCTTTGCGACATCTTCAAAGCATTCCATCTCTTGCAAATGCATGCAGGGTACCAGCGAACGCTCTACTTTCTCGGTACATGGAGGACATGGCATCTTCCCACATATGGATTTGCATGCATGCTGGCTTTCATGGGAGACACATTTTCTTTCGCACGGCTGCCTGCAAATTCCTGCTTCGGTTTTGTGTTCTTTGTCTACAACATGACAGAGCCGTTCGCATGAATGACCGCATGACGCAATCACTTTGTTGCAAAGCTGTATTACATATAAACGACACGAAGTTACGATTCACTTCACATGCAGAGTTGAAAGCAAAGAATCAAGGGTATGTACAAGTACTTAGTTGAATATACTCACTCTATTGCAACCTCCACTGGCAGGAAATTGATTAGGTTTGAGAATGAAGATGACCTCATCAGGGTGGTTTTGACATTGTAGTGGGAGCGCTCTTCCAATCTGATTCTCTTTCACCAAGACATGCTCAATGTTTCTCCAAATTTCGCTTCCAGAACTCAGCGCATCCATGTTTCCAATCATGAATAGTCCTTTTTTTGCACGCGATATGGCAGCGACATCTCGACTGTCAGTCTTTGAAGACCTGCTACTGCCTTCCAAGTTGCCCCATGTCACAAGTGACAGAAGGATAATATCACTCTCTTCGCCTTCGTAATCGTCGGTGGATGTGATTCGAACCTTCACGCACATTGGGAAGCTGCTGGTGATGAACTAAAACAAGCATGAAAGATGATACCTTTCAATCCTAAATTCCATCAATACAGTCATTATTCATTCAATGCTGAAGCCCCTTTTCGAAAGTTGAGAGCGATGTGCGCAATCTTCTTCCGCAAATGCTGAGACAAAGTAAATTTCAAAGAGCTTAGAAGAAGTCCAGAAGACATATTTCATGCACTATAGGACAAAAATGAACTTCTCTGAAATAGAATCGAAGATTTGCATAAGTTAGGTCATGGACGTACCTTCTTGAAGACAAGTAGCTGTTCTGAATACGTTGTCAGAATAAGAATTTGTTCATGCTGGTATCCTTGCAAGAGAAGGTACCTGCAAAAAGCCAATAAAAACTCGGCCTCCAGCACCATGTTGCTCTTTTTCTCTGAGCCTTCATCCTGAAAAAAAAAAAATATGGGCATGTGGAGCACTTTCCAGATAAAATGTTTTTTTAAATACAGTACATCATTCATGATATATACTCACTAAAACCTCCTTGGAGTTGCATGTGACAAAAAATACGTTTTTAGCAACACTAACAACATCATCATCAATCGCGACACTTGAATGGTCTTGCAGATCTTCATGAACATGCAGCTTGAGCATATTAGAAATATTTGGTTGCATCCTGCGCTGCTGAATCAGACGTTCGTGAGGCATATGGTTCTTCAACATCCTTTCGAACATTGAAACATCCATTCCAAAGTTTGTACCAAGTTGGTATGCGGTGGTTGATGGCCTCACCAGTTGATGATCCCCTTCAATGAAAAAGTTCGAAATAGGTATAAAGTTAACTGTACTGCCATTCCTTATAGACTTGATTCAACTACCATATTTTCACGACGCATTTCTTAACATCATTTAGCACAAAACTTTTGATGCGTCCTTAATTTGAAATACAAGATTCGTGAAAAAATCATCAGTTCGTGGCATTTATTTAGAATTAGTCATTCAACTACCAGTGTAATTATAGAATCAAAATTGACTCATATCAGAGGAACAAAAGTCTTCACCGATCAGAATCAGATGCTCGCAATCAGGAGATAGACAGCACACGATGTGCGATTCCAAAACTTCCGCAGCTTCTTCGACGACCACTGCATTCAAAGAAACCCAAAAGGAAATGATCAAGTTGATTTTGTTCAACAAATATTTCTCATAATCAATTTCAAAAAAACATGTAAAGCTCAATAAATATTGCACATAGAAAAAACAGTTTCATGCCGACAATCCGAAAGTCACTCACCAACTTTTGCCCGAATGTTTTGGACAAAAGAAAGGTTTTGCACTGCTGCAGTTGTCGTCATCCCAACGACGTCCAAACACCGGCTATGACATATTAAAGCCGCATTCTGTGCTTCCTTGTATCTTTCAACCAATATCTTGTACTCCTCCATATCAGCATTAATCTTTTTGCTTAGGTTTTGAAGAAATTGGTAAACCCAATATCGATAAATCAGCCATCGGGCTTTTGGCTGTCGGGCATTGATCCAATTTTCTTCGAATCCAACTATTTTCTCGGGTGGCTCTACAAGTTCCACGTTTGATGAAATTTTCCAAAATCTGGAATCTGCTTTCAAATTCGTCTTTTGCCTTTCTGCGTCTTGCAGCCGCAATTCTGCTTTCATCAACTATCGAAAAATAAATAAAATGCATCTAATGATCCAAAATACCTCCGTGCTCTGACTACGCTCGACAAGAATTTTAAAATCAAATCAAATTTTGAATCAAACAAAACAATTTTTTTGTGAAAATACTTTCCTAAGTGTACAAGCAAAATTACAAAAACAACCTAGAAGCTTCTATAAACCCTTGGAGCAAAAGGTTCACATCTGCTTTTGGACATAGAGATGAAGATACTATAATCGTAACTGAACTTCTGCAAGGCATCTTATGATGAAACCCGAATTGCGATTCCGAACGTTCAATTCACAAAACAGTATTTATACCCGCACTTCAGAAATTGGGATAAGTTTAGCATACCGGAATTGTGACTCACTTCGTGAAATGTGGTGCCGTCTTCTGGGTCTTCAACAAAGTCTTTCAGTTTCTCAGAAAGTATTTTCACTTCCTCCTCAGCGTTTTTCACAGCTTGCTCTGCACTCATGATGCTAATCTCAAAGTGACGCTGGATGCATTCACTTTTCCGTTCAATAGTTGACTCGGGGACTTCAGATTTGATGTCGTAAATGGATTCGATATTTCGCCTTTGTGCCTCAGCCGAAGTTTTGCCCCCAATGTTGAAGTCTAGTAAGTCGGTCGTTCCGGCGATTTCATCATCAAGTCCTGGCGTATTGCTCTCTCCGTCCTTGTCCAGAGAAACGACATTCTTCCCTTCAGAGCGCGCAAGTTCTCGCTCCTCTTCAATAACTTGCTTCATGAAATCTTCTGAGAAAATTTTGGGAAACTGATTGAAACCCAGCCAATTGGCAAGGCTGAAATCCGTGGTAAAAGCTTCAGGGATATGTAATCCGAATTTGCGCAAAGCACCCACAGTTAGGATCCCAGCTCCAGAAGTAATGCCTGCGATTCCAATAAGAGATTTTAGCCAATCTTTTTTTCAAGTCAGTAAATTTCAAGTCTTCACATCAGACTGAAGCCCATGTTTCACAAGAACGAATTAGCAACAGAATAATTTTATCTCCCTTACATGAAATACACCCCTGTGACTATGCTCCTCATGTACAATACTGTATTTAGAATGATTCTGACTTAATGGACGCCTTGCATGACGTAATTTTCGGTGATGAACTTGCCATAGACTTCATTGACATAAACTTCAGCTTTGGATAATGGACAGCATGAAAATTCAATTTAACGGGAAGAAGCTAAATTCCTGCTGGAAATGAACTGCCAGCGAAGATTCGTTTAATAATTCTTTCAAGAATTTAATGAACAAAATTTATATGGGGATCACCCAAGCCAAATAACTTCCCATGAGGTTTTTGAATCGCACTGTATCACATCACATATTTCAGGGAATTCAAGAGACAACCGAGGCCAAATAATGTACTTGTTCAATACAACTTCACACTACAGTGCTCGGTTCTTAGATTGATGACAAAACCAAGTCTATTGTACTGCATTTACTGACCTTTTTTCAGAATCTCAAGTTCATTCAAAGAGCTCTGCATAGCCAGCAACTGACTCCAAATGTCACGACTAACACGGAATGCATTTCCATCTGAGTTCAGCACAGCATTTCGTACAGTGAATGGCTCAAGCGAGGCGCTTGCTGGAAATTTTCCGCCAATCTGAAGGATTTTTTGAGTGTAACTTCTGACACCATCCAAAAACCGGTCCAGGTTGTGATTTGTGAAACATAAAATCAATATTGGACCATGGTCATCAATCTGGAATTCTTGTCGACGGAGAAGAATCGTCTGAACCAACTTCAAGCCAAGGTAGTTTTTACCAGTTCCCGGTGGACCTACAGCATGCATACAAGCCAAGCAAATTTTGAGATCTACAAATCAAGACATCCAACACTACTTGCAAAAGTATTGTTAGGTAAAACGTGGCTGGTCCCAACTTGAATTATCCGTTTATTTGAGGACTTGTGTGCGACTAATGCGACGCATTGAATTTCGGATTAATGAATTTGTTTCTTGTGAAACAAAATGGTGAAAATACAGTAATGAACTTGGGTAATCCGAAATTATCTGGTGAAAAACAACATGCTAGTACAGTAAGTATTTTATTACGAGCGGTAACTCGGTCTTCCTCGTTTTTTTTTTGTTGTTGAAATAACAGCTTCACTTCAGTGGCACACGAAAATTCTCGCTGGGCAAGCTTTCGACAAGAAAGCTAGAGGTCACTTGAAAAAAAAAGAAAAACTGTCTCAAGCGAAATATATTCTCAAGACTAGAATTGGATTGGGGCGGGGGGGGGGGGGCAGAAGCTTTCGACAGTGAGAATTCAGGCGAATGGGGTTAAGAATTACACCACCAAAATTGTTTCATTACTCGAAGCAAAGGAAAACAATACTGTACGCATCACGTAATTGACTACAGCATACACTACCACCACAAGGAGCAACACTTATTTCAGGTTCTTTTGTGTGTTTAAATACCTGTGAAGAAGCGCGATTATAAAATATGGCCCTAAATATTTTGATCCAATCTTAAACAAACAATATATTGAGACACTACGAAATGGAGGACTCAACTTGGTCAGCAAAATTTAATTCAATAAAATAATTGCTTTGATTTTTTGGTAATTATACGGTTGTGTAAGCTTGTTCGAAGATAAAAACCAGATAGTGTAAAAAGAAACTGATTGTTATAAACAAACATTCGTTGTGTCAAAATTCTCATGAAAATAATTTTTTCACTTGAATCAGGCCATTCATACTATCAATTCGAACCCAAAATATTTGAAATAAATTACGAAATGTTCTGACAAAATAAAACATGTCTCACTCCAGCACAGTTACTAAAAATCTTCAGTAAAAACAATGCGTTCATTTCAAGGATAGGAAGGTAAACGTCAGAAAAATCATGGAAATTCTGCTGGAACGAGAATTGCTTAACATTGCGTCTCCAGAATTTCAGTCAGGACCTTGAAAATATTCCGTTACCGCGGAAATTTGTTATGCCGGTATTCCTTGCAATGAATTTTGACCTGTACTGGATTATTCATAGCTCTCTGAAATTTTCAAAATTAAATAGACTTATCCACTTCAATTGTTCAGTTCGGATAAAAGGTCTAAAATGTCATTAAAAATTATCTATTCCAACCAGGAAGATGCGCTCTTCTTAGGTCAAATTAATTATTACAAAATTATTACTAATAATAGTTTTTGACCCTGAATCGTTCACAAACCTTGAATGAGGGCAAATTCGCGACAAAGACCAGCTTTGAATGCACGGAACTGAGCTTTGTCCAGCCCAAGTTCTTCTGGTTCCGGCCAGTCACCAGAAAATGGATTCCCCACAAATTGCTTGCCACCGAATTCCATTGGAAAAACTTGCGAATCCTCGCCCTCTTGCTCCAAGATGTACTTTGGCAGAGACATTCTCTTTTCAGCATACAAAATGTACTTCTTCAGCGGATAATTCTCCAAATCAATACGCTGCAGAGCTGACAGTACTTGCCGATAAGCTTCGAAAAAAGCGCAAGTCTCCACAATAAGATATTCGGGGGTAGTCGTCCATGCATTCAAATCGAATTGACTGTTTTCAGGTCGTATTCTTATGAAACCCCGCTTCAAATCTTCAAACTTTTGCTCCGCAACGGATGCAAGCAACATGCTCTTGAAGTTATCATTGGTAAGGCATAACAAGGACCCATAAATCAACCGCTTCCTGAATTCTAATGGTGCTTGACTGGGATCCCTCAATGAAATTTTCAGTTCAAGAGTGAATCCGATTGTTTCGTGAAAAATGCCAGTAATGACTCCTTTTCCGTAGTTACCGAAGTTCTCAATCGAATTGTGACTCTGGGTGAAATCATCGCCAACGTTTTCTGTGTGTTTCGTCATTATCTGAGCAACTCCTTCCCGCAAGGTTCTCACGAAGTCTTCTTTCATCAAGCGGAATTGCACGTCAACGTAATGATCGGCATTCAAATATCGCCCACACAAAATATTCGCACGCAAGAAGGGCTCCACTTCACTCAAGATATCATTCAATGACGGAAGAATAGGTAAAGAGCGAAAATTTTCAGGTGGTTCGACCAAGTGGCTTCTGCCATGACGTAAAATTCCTTTCATTTTGGGGCCTTTGTCTCTTTCTTCCACGGCTTCTCGCAGCAGCGCCAAATTTTCCCGAATCCGACACAACATTCGATTCAATTCTAGGTCTGGTCCTGAACTGTTGTCCGAATCCAAGAGAAGCATTCTGATGGAGTTTGCGCAAGCTTCGATGCTCAAGGCTTCGTCCGAAGGGCTAAGTTTGACAACAACATCGAACAATGCTACTTCACTGCACAATAAGTCTCGCGTCTCAGCAGGATTTGAACGACACATGGGGGCCAATATCGTCAAATTGAGATGCAATAGCGAGTGAAGCAACTTGGAGTGCAATACCAAGGAAATGGCTCCAACGTTGACGCCTGACGCAATAGCCTTGTTGAGCACTTTCAAAACAAGCATCATTCTTTCACAGCTATGCCTCAGCTGATCTTCTTCGAGGACAGCCAGAAATTCGGACTTCTTGTTGACTGCGTTGAAAACGGCGGTCTCAATTGCAGCATGACTGCCTTCAGCAAGCTGTTGCAGGTCTTCAAGGCTCATTTTAAATTTCTGGTCACATTCACTTTTCCTCCAGAAATCACCGTTTGATTTTTCTTCCAGCAGAGATTCGTGGGAATCGAGTTGCTCACAATTCAGATCTTCCATCATAGTTGAAGAATATCCCGAAGAACTACGCTGCGCACCTGCATGAACAATTAAAACATTGTAGATGAACGCAAAACCTTGAAACAGCTGATTCATAAGCTTCGTAAGTGCACTCAAACGAAAAGAGTCAGCAGGGCTCTTGGGTTATTGAAAAAAAATAACGAAGAACACACACACACTTTCATGGGTATCATCTCATGAACAAAATTCACTTCCACGGTGTTTGAGGGCTTCATCAGTCAAACGACTTCGAATGGCGTTTCAACCTTGCTAACGGAATGTACTGGAAGAGTAAGTTTCATATACAGGGTGTTCTCGGCGCTATAACACTGGATGCAAACCGACGTAAGGCGCGCATCTTTCTGGGAATCAATCATTGGATCATATGCGTAAAAATGACACCGTGATTAAACGGTGAAGTAATTTGGTACGATAGACGACTGCACATGCGTATGTTCGTAATTTGAGGTAACCGGTAATTTTCGAAAAGATCAGGACTTCCAACACATACCAGGGGTTGAAGTCGTTACACGCTTCCGCGCAAACCACATTATATCTCGAGCTTTGTCACTTCGGACCTTTTCCTCCTCCTCACATTACTGGAGGCTTCTCTTCTCTTCTCTATTTTTTTTTTAAATATCCTACGGGACAAAAGGGCGCAGAAGCCGTGTACAATTGCTGTCATACAAGTTTCCCGCGGAGTTCGAGCAGTATTGACCGGGAGAGAGTTTCGCATTGTCATTTGCCACAACTTTTGTCAAAGACAAAGTTTTCGCAAATGACTTGCAGCGAATTACGTTTGCCGACAAACAATTTTAGCTAATGACTTTTGTCCATGACAAAAGTTGTAGGAAATAACAGTCAGAAACACTCTCCCAGTCAAGGCCACGCAAACTCCGCCAAAAACTGGTATGACAGCACTTGTACGGCTCCTGTGCCCTTCCATCCCATAGGAACATCATGAAAAAAAAAAGAATCAACGAAAAGAAGCCTTCAGTAATGTAGGAAGGAGTATGAAAAAGTCCATACTGAGAAATGCTCAAAGGTAATGAGGTTCGCGCGAAAGTGTGTAACCTCTCGAAATGTATGCATCAGTCGGACACTGGGATGAAATTGATGGCAACCTTAGGACATTAAGTTCAATGATTCATATAAAAGAGAACGATTACTTTGAACTGATACCTTTTCAGGAAATCATTACCATATCTCCACTGGTTTCATTTCTTTTTTATACAGCGAATGAAACACATCCCAGGAGGAATTTGGTCGTTTATAATAGAGACCATCAATTATACTTCCACTATTTTTCCGGGTATCGACAACGCATGGTTGTAGCTTGAATCAACAGTAATTAAAATATGTGATAACGTCTCGACCAGGGACATAAATCGACAGAGGACTTCCAGAGAACGTCGGTAATTTGATATTGGCCCAATTTGACTACTGTACTTGTACTTCTCTTAAAATTTCTTCGTCGGGAACTCGCGATACCCGACACAGCTAGAGCACCATCAACATATAGGAATTCAAATGACAATACAAATGCATACAGATGAAGAATTTTTTTTCTTTGCGCCACTGGAAAAACTTCCACGGAAATTCAACAGCGGAAAACGAAAAATATTTCCCCAAATCATGAGGGCAAGGGCACCTCATGATATCGAAATTACATGACGATCAAATTGATTCTAGTACTTCTAAATCAAAACTGAAGTGAAGGTGAATTCAATTATTGGATGAAAGTCGTTCGACCACTAGCTCCAAATATCGCTGATTTGAAGGAATCTCAGGAGATTTTCCACGGAGAGGATTCGCGCAAAAATTCAAAAAGGCGGTCCTTCGAACCAGACCTCTTTCACACACTGTCCTACAGGACATCTGTCATACTGTCCTACAGGACAAGGCGTCGCAACAAATCACGACTCTTTCACACGGCGTCGTAACACGTCACGACTATACAGTACGGGCACGCCCTTACGGTACCGACCGAGGCGGGTTCTGAAGTCGAAAACTTCGTGCTAGCTCGGGATTCGAACCAGGGTTCTCCGGGGAGCTTGCCACACCGGCCATGACCACTGTACCACACCCTCGGCGGCTCGAAGAGCTGGTCGATACTGAGTACATATCCGAAGCTTACCAAATAGCATAGGGGAACTCACCCTTCCAGCGTTGTACGGCTTGAAACCAAACTTTTCAGCACTGGTACAGTTAATTATACATACAGTAGTGGCTCAAATTCACAAACTGCACATGACGAGTGGCAAGCATGAACAGAATTTCAAAATGTAAAATTCGCGATCGACTCATACTGATCGAAGTACAGCATATTCGAAGCCATAGCGTCTTGATCTGTACTGTATTTTTTCCTACCCCCGAAAATGTATCCCACGCACAATTTCGGAAGTATTGCGGGAGAATACTGAAGTATCAGACAAGCATATATAGGCACGGGTTGAATGAAAGAAATTGAAAATCCTGTACGGTATTGAGCAGCAATGTTGGTTCTTCTTTAAAGGCTGCGCCGAAGCAGAAAAAGACAAGCTGCTCTACCGTATGCACGCGAATATCCAACAGTACTGTAGCTCTTTTTTTCAATTTTAGAATCTCAAAAACCAAGTGGAGATGCGTATATACAGAACAGGTGGTACCTCGCAATTCGACCTCCCGCAATTGGACGGTCGAATTTGCAGGGAGTTTGACTAGCAATTCGACCCTAGCCGCACAATTCAACCTGGTTTTGCCCCTTTTCCGAGTTTTTTACTGATATTTTTGAAATTCACGAAGTGCCTCGCAATTCGATCACACTACAATTCAACCCTACTTTGGCAATGGATTAGGGTCGAATTGCGAGGTACCACCTGTATTGGCATATTCATGCGATTCGCGAAAATATAAGCACCCCTTTTTCTCCCCCCCCCCCCCTGCAGCAAATTGGGAGGTTTCGCCTGTTCATGAGCCACTTCTCTCAAAATACCGCATTTATACTCGAGGCATTACTACGCGCCCTAAAAAAAATATGTGGACCAGGATTTTTCTCAAACATTTTAAGATATTGTATTTGTATCCCCGAGCAAGAGGTGCACTATGATAGTCGCTTGACAACTACGTTTTACAGTATCTAAGATTTAAAAAACCCAAAGTTGAATTTCGGCATAAACTAAACCTGTATTCTGCTACTGTAATTTTCAATCATTTCCATTAAAATGAACTCTTTTGGTAAACTTGGTCCAAATTACACCGTTAATATCAAGTACAGTGAAGACAAACCTAAAGGCCTACAACTTTTCTAAAAATCGATACCCGCCCCTATGACCGGCACCCCTTTTTCCCCTCTTAAATTTGAGGAAAAAGGCGCGCGTACTACTCGAACGAATAGGGCAATATCCAACCGTTACTACAGTATTTACAATTTACCAACTATTATTCAAGTATATTGGGGTATCGAAGTTACTTACGCATACGAGGAATGCCGTGTACGTTACAAATGACCTTCTTTTTCCGTGTCATCTTGACACCGTTAACCCTCTTCTAGGAAAACCATAAATTTTTCCAGAAATTTCAGGATCCTGGGCAGTCAGATCACCAGGAAAGTAGAGGGGTGCTTATATTTCTTTACTAATGGAATTTCAATTTCGTGCATGATAACTCTGTACAGGGGTTGCAGCATATATAAAATTGCGCAATCGCGGTATTTTGAGAGAAGTGGCTCATGAACAGGCGAAACCTCCCAATTTCCCACAGAAGTCTTCAAAATAATGGAGGGCAAAATAAATTACAGTATCATGAAAACCCACGTAAATGTTGCACATCATTTTCTCTTCAGAAAATGATTCGGCGTTAATAATCTAACATGAATATCTACCAATAACGGGGAGTCTGTCAGAAATAATGGAATGGCAAAATTAATTCTTTCGATTAATCCTAAATTTTCAATCAATGCTTATGAAATTCTAATCGTCAACTGGGGAAATTTTAGTGGTTTCGCAGCGTACCTGCGAGAACATTTGGCGTTCACGTTATTGGCGTTTACGTAATTGCGTTATAAACGGCGATCACCACACTGTGCTTCAAAAATTGGAATAGTCTCAGCAGATTTTCCGACGAGAGGATTCGAACAAAAATTCAAAAAAGGCGGCCCTCCGAACCAGACCTTTTTCAATTTGCCCACATGGACATGGCGATTTCGCCCTCTCACACGGCTTTCGTCGCAATACGACTTCAACGCATGGCGCAGTCACTTGAGACTTCCACCAACCGACCGAGGCAGGTTCTCTCCCAGGGAAGGCGTAAACTTCCTAACAAACGACGGGATTCGAACCAGGGTACACCAGCATACTTGCAAGCAGCCGTGACCACTATGCCGCGCCCTCGGCGGCGAAAGAATCTGTTCGACGCTGGGTACATATTGACAGTCGCCCGAGGCGGAGCTTACCGAATTCGCATGGGGGATCTCCCCCTTCCAGCGTTGTACGGCAGGACCCCGAACCGTACAGCACTGGTACAATTGAACATGGGCAGTGACTCAAATTCACCGTCAACTGCGCATGACGATAAATTGCAAGCATCGAATGGAATCTCAAAATTCGGAACAAATGTAAAATTTCTCCATCGATTCATACTGATCGGAGTACAGTTTATTCGAAGCCGGTTTCACGTCAACAAATACCCCATCTTAGATTGACCCGTTGACATCAGAATAGCCCATTATATAAAACACTGTCGAAATTCAACATAAATGATTAATTTCCTGAAATATTTCATGGAATATTCTCAACTGAAAGAGCGTTTGTCTGCAGAAAGATTTTTGGAAGGATGCAAATCAGGAAATGTTATTTTTAATTGGCTGCAATAAAGTGCCAAGTTGACATAGTTTCTTTTCTCGCGTGTTTGTTTCCAGACAGCCTCGAAAAATAGAATGTCTCAAAATGTATTTTCCTCGCAGGGCGCAGAACAGTGAAGAGTGTGCAAAAATGAGGACTTGTAATGGAGGATGGGCGCTTTCTCCTTCGCGATGAAAGAGAGCAAATACGTTTTTCGTCCAACAAGGAAACTATTCCGTGTATAAACTACTGTATACTGTCACGGGAAGTGACGGTTAATTCTCCGTCAGTTCTCCCGCAATCTCCGAAGTCTAGAACAAATTTCGCTCTTGAAATAGGAAATTCGTTGTATTTACTATTTAGAGGAAGAATTCAAGGTGGATAATGCATTCGAACACATGGACATGGACTAAAATGGAGCTTTTCTCGTAATACAGTAGCATGACGAATGAATAGCCTAGCATAAAGCGAGCATATTTTCACCATAAAATGCTTTCTATAACGACACCCTAACGATCAAGTAACAAAATATAACGAACCTTCGGCCATTTCGAAACTTTTGTCAGACATTTCCTTCGACTTTCTGTCACAAGCTCCTGCAGTCCTGCTGTGAGAGGCTTCCATCTTTCCGCGGAATGACTAATTTGACTGCATAATTCCTAGATCAGCTCGACAGAAGGTGAACAAGTCTGACTCACCTATCTCATTCCTGCAAATTTGGAGAATTCATAATGAAATTTCAACAGCCGTCAGCTGATTTTCGAAAATCAAACGAAATCTCATCCCGCCTCAATACAACATTGGATTAAGCTAACAGGAAAGAAAAAAATCTTGAGTTTTTTATTTATACATACCCTAGTCCTATTGAAGGAGAGAACATCAGTCCATCTCAAGATCTCCTCAAATAGCACTTCGGGAACACGCAAGATCACTCATGTATTGTCAAAAATTAAACACTGCTGTTCATCTGGGAACAGAAAAAAAAGCAAGGGATGCTGAATAAAGTGAATGAGGATGGACATCCATCGGTCGAAAACAAAACCGAAATGAATATACAAAACAAAAAACCCCGATAAAATTTAAAAATCGGGGTTGCAGTAAATAAGACACCGAAAATAAATCTTTCCATCAGTTGATATCGTCTAAAGAAAACTAAGTATATTCGAAGAAAATTGAAGAGAAAGCATAAGTCCATATCGAATGACACAAACGCAGAAATCTGCAAGAAAAACGAACCGATAAAGCAAAAAAAAAATTGGAGTCGGTAATTTTTCGCATGCATGCACAATATTTGAAACGAGTGCTGTCGACCGATTCTACGCCCGGTATGATGCTTGCCATCGTATGCAACAACAAAAGACACAGCAAAATATGGAAGAAGAAAATGCCAGAGAGAAAATGTCGCAGGGAAAAAGTCATCATTTCCACTTTGTGGTTTTGCTCAAGACGTGTTTGTTTCGGCATCTATGACCGATTGGCGCCAATTTTTTCTAAATGAGATACTGTGGTTATTTCTCAAGGATTTCTGACAAATGAAATGTTTCAGCTGGATATTATGAATGTACAGTAATTTTTGCAGCCAACGTCTTTTCAACACGAAACTTACTTCCTGTCGGTTATTTTCTCTCGAAATTTTCTCATCCGGCATTCTCTCATGTTCCTCAGATCACGAAAAAGTGTTCATCAAATGAACAGCTTCACTGATAAGAAAAAATTTGAAAATAATAATAACCAATAGTCATGAACAAAATCAACACTGATATCACTCACAGCTTCAAATTCACAGACTTTTTTGACCCGACAGCGAACCAAGCTCGGATCAAAAGTGCGTACATTTTATAAGAAAACGGAGTCGAAATCATATTGTTCACAGGATATTTTCTCGACTTCTCACCCAGAACTGTACCGAAACACACTCGATTCGCCAATTTCGTCGAAAGAAATGTTCTTCAAGACCAGAAAAACATCAATATTGCTCAGATGTTTTCTTCGAAACGTCACTTCCGGAACCATTTCACTCACACTTTCCGATTTTTTTTCACGAGTTTATAACAGGGAGTAATAATAACGACCAGGGAAGGGACCGCAGAAATGTCCGAGAAAATGAATTTCAAGATCGCATGGATACGTTCGGAGCTTGAGTATCGAAGCTTGACTTGTTCAATTCAGAACTCATCAGCTCCGCGGGTCTCACGTGGAATTGCGCCCTACAATTCAAAGTTCGCCATGTTGTTGTAAGCATTGGACCACGCAGGGTGCCTTGAACCGTCCATTTCAGTCGCAACACGGTTTGTCGCGATCAGGGAATGATTTCTACCTCCGATGCGTTCGTGGCACTCCGGACATTGTGACTCTACCATAGCTCCTCCACAATCTGGAAGAAATCGGTTGGAATTTTAGTTAAAAACTATAGTCTGATTAAAAATGAATGATTGAAAAATTCCAATTTGATGAGCTCCGAAGAACTGTTAGTCGAGCAAAACCCTTCATGGAATACGAAGATAGGGACAACAATGATTATTTGCTGAGCTTATACGAAAGTTTAAGCATTCAGATTCTGTCCATAGAAATAAATTATGGGATATTAAAAAGATATTGCATTTGTGATTTAATTCAGTGTAATTTAAAGGATCTCCTAGATACAGACGAAAAGTGCAGATGTTCATTAGACTTGTGCAGTCCTGAAAATCAGGAATCATGTGTTCAGGTACTGCCAAATAAGTTACACACCTTCACGTGCATTAACTGTTGTCATGAGGCACTGACCATTTTATGCCGGGAATTAATCTGTCCCGGAATTTTTAAATAAATGCCGCACAAAAAGGGAAACTACAAATAAATTTTTTGAATGTGAATGACGCTGCTGAAAAACTCTGCCAGCAATTGCTCCGAATTCTGGAAAATATTCACGGAATTGTTTGAAAATCCTCATAAAAAATAACGTTCTATAAAATGTATACTACGGAGTTGAGCGATTTAATCGATCAATACGGTCTTCGGTTACCCCCTTTTGCAATGGAATGGTTCACAATAAGAAGGTTCCGAAAATTAAAATTCCATACGTCCAAAATCCGCCGAAGTTGAAAAGTTGTATCTCAATATGTATACAATTTCAGAAAAACACCAGTTATCTCCCGTTTCATTGTTTTACAAAAATTTTTTCAACATTACTTTAAAAGCTAATGCAGCACCTGTTTTCCCCACTGAACATAAAATGTATTTGAAAATTTTCAATATAAAATGAACCCAATACAAAAGCGGTTCTGATTCTTTCCTCAATTCATTCCGGTTTGAAAAATCCATTCCTAAAATAATTTTCGAATAAATCGAAACTCAAATTTCCCAAACCAAACAAGTTAAGGGAAATGCAGCAAAGCAATTTATTCGTCGAATATAATCTTAATGCTCAAATAATTTCATGATGAAAAAATCAAAAATCAACTATGGTTTTTGATTTGTTCATCATGAAATTACTGTATTTGCTTACTTTCTCAAACGCGGGTCAGGAACGTTAAATTCGCATTTGCCGCACGGCAATGACCTTCTTTAAAATAGATACAAGACTACGGATTGATCAAAATCATACATACCGCCAATAGCGTATATGTGCCCATTGGGACAGGCATACCAGTGACCCGGTTTAAAGCCCATAGCATTCAATACCATCCGTTTTTCTTCCAGGGATATTCCAACGCCTCCGCTAAGTTTTTCAGCTTCTTTGAGTAATTTCTTCACTTCCGCTTCTTTCACTTCCGTGAAACGACTTATGTCGGACAAGATAGTTTCAACACGCGAAATCAACACCTTGCCTTCTTCCTTTGTGATGCTTCCCTGCGTTAAATAAATTAGAGCAACGAAAACGTAAAGGAATTTCAAGGACGATCTATACATCGTGCCGACATTCAAATAAACTAGCATATTTCAATGAAAAAACTCACTCGCATCTTTTCCAACAGTACAGAGCAACGGGATCTTTGAATTTCTGCAGAAAAAGCTTCCAATACAGAATCATTCAAGTTGTTCTTCCTCGACATCACCAATTTCGCCAGCTATGAAAGTGAAAATTACACAAGAACTGAGTAAATACTGTACTTATTCCAGCCATTCTAAAATAGGATCATCTCATAATTTTCGAATTTGACATTCATTTTATTCCAAGTATTGATACGGGACATTATACTTTTTACACTTCGTACGTTTCTCAGAGCAGAACATTTCAATATAGGGTGTAGTTCTCAGAAGTAATTGTGCGCTACGCACTCCCGATGCTTCATGATCCCAAAAATAAGTTTTATATGTTATAATTTGCATTCAATTCAGCGCCAAAAAATTCACGAAGTATAGCACTGCATTTGGGCGAATATATCTAGCAAGATTCCTGAACTCAATCATAATCAAATTTACGGTGAACTGGAACAACACATATCTATGAGGTTTTTTCCTCATCGGCGTCAGGCCATGAATAATAATTATTAAACATCTCCCATCGGCATGAAAGCAATGAAATGGAAAATAGAAGTGATGTTTTGTCTTCTATATTGCAAAAATATTTTTTACATCTGAATGTTGCAAGCTTTGAAATGTCAGGATAAGTTTACTTCGATTTTTTAAAAATAATTTGAAATCACGTTTTACGCTAATAAACTGCTAAAATGCCCAGGTTTCAAAGGTCACAATGATGTTCAGTGACTATAGTGAGTGTTCGGAATGAAGAGGATTTTTGAGTATAAATCAGGGGAAATCATGTTTTGCACGAAATGACTTTTGCATAACAAACCTCATATGATGGAAGTGATGAGGTTTCTTCCGCAGGGACCAACTGTTTCATTCTCTAATTCTAGCAGATAATTTTATACACATTCTTCCACAAGGATCGATTCTGCTGTGATTCCAAGGTGGCATTAGAACGCTATAATAAAACAATTGCTAGTGAGATATTTCCCAAATTATTATCATGTAGTCAGCTGTAAAAATCTAAAAGAGTTGAGAGAAAGTGGACGATGGTTGAACTTCAAGCTTTAAACGTAAATATTGGAAGTAATCTAGACGAAGTGATTTTCCTCATCATAATAAATACTGACAGTGTCCACGCGGTTATGTTAGTTCTCATTCTATTCTCCACAACAACAAATATGCACAAACACAATATCTGCACAATTTTTCGCTGGTTCAGAAGCCGAAGGAGGTTCTTCTGTTGGGTAAGGTTTTGAAAACTTTGAAGGAGCTATTTCTCGTTGAAATTACATTAACGGCTCAAAAATTGAAAAATATGACTCAGAAAAAAACGAAACATAGGTAAATGCCAAAAAAGAAGAACGCCCTGAAGATCATCATGTGAGGGCTGACTCGGCTGAAAAATCTGAAAAATATTCGGTGCAAATGGCACGGTATGTAAGAAAAACTCACCTTGCGAAGCTTGGACTCGAAATTGCTTTTGAAAGTCGACGAAATGTATAATTCTTGATTCAGTCTCAAAACGGCAGCGATTGCTTCCAGGAGATCGAGACGATTGGAAATACTGCTGCATTCCATTGCATTCAATTTTTTCAACTTCCGCATTTCCATCGCTCGTCCCGTATGATATTCTTGACGTGGAAACCCGATTTCGGATAAAAGCCCATTAATGAAATCCTCCCCAGAAAAGACCTCGCTGATCCTCTTTGCGTTGGCTTCATCTGAGTAAATAGAAACAACTCAAGTCCTTCCGTTTCCCATTCTGAACCCATTCAATGTCACATTTTCCACTACAGTCAAACGAGTAATGTGATGAAACTGAGTTCATCTGGGCTCCTGTTTTTCAACTGCAAAAAACCTATCATCTTCGAGGAACACGTCATGAACACAGCAGTTATTATGATCCAAGAATTTCGTCGTTCGGTCCCACTGCTGAAATTATCCAAGTATCTGCTGTTGCTTCTGTTTTCTCATCGACCTTCAAGTTAGTATTTAGCATTCAGATCCTTTCTGTTGAAAGCTCAGAAACAAGTGAAGATGAGAAAACGGGTTCAAAAGCAGTAAGCCTAGCCCATGTAAATAGCTCGTCAGGACAAAGAATTATAAAAAGAAGGAAATCAATTGCGCCGTTGTTTCCTTCCTAACTAACTTCCTGGTAAGTATGAATAATATCCTCGTTATATTCCAATTTATCGGATCATGAGAAGAGAAATCGTGTTCGTTAATTACAGCTTCAGAAGTGGGAAATTTAAACTGCGTGACACGATTTCGACATTATATTCCCTGTGCCATCATAATTTGATTTCAAACTCGTACTCTCAAGAGATAACTTCATTGTGAATCAAGTCTCGAAATTCGCGAGAAGAATGTGAATACCGATCAATTTTTCCACGATTCGTTGAAGATCGTGATTCTTGCCAAAAAGCCTAGTTTTCACAGTAGCCACGTCCATGAGTGCAGCATTAACTTCTTCCTTGTAGCGACGAGAAGAAAAGATCGGAGTTTTGCATCGCGGACAAACCGATCCAGGCTATTGAAGGTTACCGTAAACGTAGGTAACCAGGTAAGGTGGTTGAAGTTAGTGCACTAACGTAAAGACTTCTTACTACTTGGACGCCTAATTTACTATTGGTGTTGGATAAATAAATAAAGATTACAAAATTCGGAAATCATGCGGAACAAGGATCTAACCTTGAAACACTACAGTTAAACTGTCACGCGCCACCACATTGAAGTCATCTCTATCACTTAATAAGGATTGAAATCAAGAGTTCTCAATGTGCTATTTGCTGAGAACATTACCTTCTTACGAGATTTGATGGACGTCATTTAGTATTAAGCTCTCAATTCTCTCTAATAAGGGGATCATTAAAAAGTCAACATCAACACTGAGGCACGAACATTCAGTGTTCAGTTATATCCTATGAACTTCAGACGTTTAAGAGGGTTTACAGTATTTAGAAGTTCTTTGAATCCATCATTCATGGTATCGATGGAAGGAGACCTAAGTATATAATCCACAAGATTGAACAGCCGAAACGTCTCTTATCAGCGATTCATTTCCAGTAGTATGTTATTTTATGGATTCATCTTTCAAACGTTAACTTCTATTTTCTTCAAAATGTAGTACAGAATAAAATAATTAAGTCTTGTCTATACATAGAGAAGTTGACTGCTGAGGATAAAAATCGTCTTGAAGTCAATGAACCTCTGCATTTTCTCACGATACCGAAAAAGATTTCTCGACTTTATTTGTAAGCATTCAATCATCCCCATCAAGATTCTTTTCGTCAGCCAAGTTCCTGAAGGACGCCATTTTTCATTTATTGGAATGCATAAGACAGAAGAAGAATCTTGAACTTTTATCATAATTCTGTCAATCCATGCAATTCGCTGAGAGTGACTTCAGAATTCTGCATGAAATCGGACTTACAGTGCATGCTGACAAAAATCAAGCAGTATATATTGAGACCATCGTCAGGCATTAGAGATACAGACAAGTGAAATTTCTTCGGAGCAACTAAAAACTGGAAAACATGGACAGGTTCCCGGGCTTTATTTCATTTTTAGTTTACCTGTCATCTTTTTCTTGGCTAACATCGTTCATGACCAAGTCGAAGAATTCCACTTCCTTTCCACAGCATCGCCGACATGGCGGGCAGTCTTCACCGCAAAGTCCAACGCATTTGTGACGGCAACCAAGTTTCACTTTGCAAGGCTCGTTGCATTTATCCTCGCCTCTGCCACAGTCCTCTGAACACTTCAATTTGCAGGGCTTGTGTTGACAACTGCTCTGGCATTTTTCCTGCAACGTTTGACATCATTTGCAGAGCTCATAAACACTACTGGAGTTTCAAACTTTTTTTTTTTTCAAGAGAATGGATCAAGGAAAAATCGTTTCACGCCAGATAGTCATAACACAAATCCTGGATTTTAATGCCGTAAAGTTCAAAATGAGTTATTTCAAAGGGAAATGCGGAATTTCCTCATGTGCACCGCATGAAAAAAAATTAAAACCTGTACTGTACTGGAGTTCCAATCAAAGAAGATGTATTTATTCGAAATTCAGTTCTGCAACGATAATGTGAAACAGTTCAAATAATTAGGAGCTAGAATATCCTTTTTACAGTTTAGCGACCATCCAGCAATTACTATACAGTATAGATTTCCTTGAGCGTCTCAGCACTAACTAAACTATTCAACTGCACACAAAAAATTCAATTTTTGGTGTAATGTTTTTTCCAACAGGTTCAATCAAGAAGTTCTTGCATATTTCAAAAAGCAATTTTCTCACCAAACATGGAACACACGGTTCCCCGCACCGCTTCCTACAGGCAGAATGTGGGCAGGAATTCTCACACTTTTCTTTGCAGGGCGGACAGTTCAAACTACAAGCGACTTTGCAAACGTGTCCACACACAAGTTGCCTTCCACAAGGCTCACCGCACGGCGCATGGATCCTGCCTTGAAGACACTTGGAACAAGTTCCAACGCACTTATGTCCGCATGACAGAATTTCCCCACAGGGATGATCACAATGTTCCATTTCATCTTCATCTGACAAGATGTTGCCACCATTTTTGATATGACATGGCAGTTTCACTCGATGGCCGCACCTGGAAAAAACATAACCTACAGCAGAGCTTTCCAAAAACGCAGTTTGAATAAGAAGTTGATCAATTCATTTCCATAAGATCATCAACTTTCTCTTTAAAGATCTAAGAAATGGTTATCCTTCCGCCATACCAGAAACATTTCGTTGGAACACGGAACTCTCAAGTTCGATAATTTTCGAAATGTTCATCAGATCTCATTGGCAGAAAAATCCTTGATCAGGGAGTTCAATGCATGAAAAAAAAAAAACCTAATTTTTCTCAAATTCCACTTGTGTGATTTTTCCTCAATACAGCTCGAAGTAATGCATACTGCGATAATCTTTTCAAATACAGTGGTCAAGATTTTTACACTTCAATCGTGCGAATCAATACCACACAGGTAGCGCTTTAAAACCCACCATGGGGTAAGCAAATGCTTCCCCTTTATAAAATAATACACAATGATCACGATGAGAACTGCAATAAAAATTTTGAAAGAACCCGTCTCACAGAAACGCAAGCTCATCAGCATTAAAGAACTGACCTTCCAACCTTACCAGCGTCCAACAAAACACGGCATCTCGTGGTGCAAACGTTGCGACAACTATATGGACACCTGTGTCCGCAAGGCAAGCTCTTTTCGCATTTCATCAGGCAGTCAGACTTATCAGGCACTTCGGAGCACTTTAACGTCACGGAATGGGAACAGTCGGGAATCTTTTTGTCGACCTTCACGCCGCAGTCCCCACAGGGTTCCTTGCAAATTTTCCGGCACATGTGACCGCAAGGTAATGTTCTCGCACACTGTCGTAAGAATTTCAATACTGTTCACAATGCGCCCCGGCATAACGAAACCGATCCGTTCCTGCATGGATGCGTTTTGGTGTGCAAAATTTTCGTCTTGTTTTCCCTCAAGATTACATTTGTAATCAATTTCTTTCATTCCAGACACTCACCAAAAGACCATTAAATCCATAAGATCTTTTAAATTGTAAAGCTTGAAAATTTGATGAAGTACTGGCAGATGAAGAACTATACCCTTCTTTTGACCTTCCCTTCAGATTTTTAAAAATTCTCAAGTTCAAATGAACATTTATTCGATTTCAAGAATTTTTTTGCCGAAAACATTTTCTTAATGAGAAAAATTATCAACTTTATCAGGTCTCTTGTTATGCGAGGACTCACCGACTCACCGTGCAATAGTTGTTCAAATCAAGAAATAATTAACGAGCATACAAGAGGGAAACAAAAGAAAAAATCAGAAATAAAACATACTACACATCGTCAACTATAAAAAAGATGGGACTGAAGTGAGAAATCGAGACGTAACAAACCCGCTCTCTGCATTTGACGTCTTCTGGCTTCACATAGCAGGGGACTTCCAAGGAATGACCGCAAGTTAAAGTCATATCAACCAGCTCTCGGCAAGGGGGGCATGGATTCTTGTAACACTTATCTGAGAAGAAATCCTACGCTTAAGCAGTGATCTTGCAGAATAAAAGTGATGAAGCATCATGTTCCTTTGATCTAACTGTTAACCAACATATATAATCTCCCAAGACCCAACGTCACTCGTATGACATAGATCAGCATAACGGAACCTTCGAATCAAGAGGAATAGTACATCATCTCAGAATAATTTGATTATTGAACGAATTGTACCTACCAGTTTTACCCACAGGTGTCGCTTCAGCGGTTTCGAAAGACAGTAGGAATATTTCCGACAAATGTAATGGCTGGGGCCCGTGAAAGCTTGAACGCGCAGAACTTATGCTGGCTACATTGTATCAGTCGCTCGTGTTCAAAACTCTCCAACGAAATTATAATAACCAAATACTGTACTATTATAACGAAGTACTTGGAAATATCATAAAAACAACGAAAACTATTCTTACCCGTGCATGTATGTTCCTTGGGGCACGATTTTCCACATGGCTTCAAACACCTGTACATCATATGTTCCGGATCATCTGTTGCATGGCAATTTCGTTCACAAGCATGCCCACAATCCAGTCGAGTGAAGCACTTTGTCGAGCATTTAGCCTGATGCAATTCAAAGCATAATTTCGTGAGGTTTTGTGAACATGAATTTAAATGCAATGAAAAAATCAGCATAAAAAATACCACAATTATGGCTTGCTGATCAATAACACAGTCAAGGAAACAATTTCAGGAATGAACTATGAAACCGTTTCTTGACAATGAAGGAACCAAGAAACTTACCCACTCGACACTTTCGAAACATTTCATGGTCTGCAAATGATCGCAAGGAACCAGATTCCGCTCAACTCTTTCAGCGCATGGAGGACAAGGCATTTTCCCGCATATAGATTTGCATGCATGTTTTTCGAGTGCGGGGCATTTTCTCTCACAAGGCCGCCTGCAAATGCTTTCCCGGGTCTTATGATCCTTGTCTCTTATGTGACACAATCGTTGACACAAATGGCCGCATGAGTCAAGTATTCCATTACAAACCTGAAAAATACGAAGTCTTGAACTGCAGGGAACACCGAAATTAATAATTTGACCACCCGAGAGGGGTGAACTCACTTTGGAACATCCCCCAACCAAAGGAAAATCATCAGGATTGAAAACTGAAATGACCTGATCCGGGTGAATTTGACAGCGCAGAGGTAATGCACTTCCGATCTGATTCTCCTTCTCCAACACACACTTCATCTTCCTCCACAATTCGCTGGCAGAACTCAACGCATCCATGTTTCCAACTATGAATAGTCCTTTCTTGGCACGCGATAAAGCAACGTTTACTCGGTTATCAGTCCGCAGAAAGCCGATATTTCCTTCCAAGTTGCTCCTCACGAGAGACAATAGAATTATATCATTTTCTTCCCCTTGATAGTTGTCAACCAGGGTGATTCGAACGGTTTTGTGACTTGGAAAGTTAGCCAACAACTAGAAAATGCAAGGAAAATGAGGATTTCTTAATCATATCTAAGAATAACAAATTGTACGGTATATGCCTCAATTTCGACCACCACTGCGCTTATCCATCATGCAGCTCCAGTCGTTTGAATTCGAACTTGATTTTTTATTTTATTTAGTGCGAAGCCGGTGATCATATCAAAATGTTCGGAGAAGCACAAACAATTTTCAATGCATGCACGTCTGTGTCGAACTTCATGCCTCGAATTCCAGCATTTACTCCGTATCTCAACTCATAAACTCACAGATCAATAGAGGAATGAAAACAAGGAAACGTTAGTTTCTCAAAATCTCTCGTATCAGATATGCGAGTGAAACACAGAAAATTAATAGACATTAATAATTAATAAAAAAGAATAATTAATAACAATCGCAAACAATTTGCATGGCATCAAATTGGCCCTGTCTCGAATCGTCCGTATCTCATAAATAATATAGATCACTTAGGCATACATAATTCGAGCCAGTCCGACAAAGATATATACTGTATGAGACGCGTAAATCATCAAGGATAAATAAAACGAATAATTCCCAAAATATTGACGACGGAAGCAGCAACAAACTTTCAGCTCACCTTCTTGAAGACAAAAAGCTGTCCAGAATACCCCGTTAGGATAGTGATTTGCTCATGCTTGTAACCTTGCAACAAAAGATACCTGCACAACGCCAACAAAAACTTCGCCTCCACTTCGTTGCTTTTGCTCTTCAGGTCCTCATTCTGAAAATTTTCGTCACAAATAATCGCATGAATTCAAATTTCCGCTCTGAAGCAGGCTCTGAGAAGTGTTTCATTCAAATATTCTCCTCTGAAATTCTCACCGATTCTTCCGGGATGTTGTGAGAGACGAAAAACACGTTTTTGTCAACGCCAAGTATATCATTGTAGCTCAAGACGCTTTTAGTGGTCTTGTAGATCTTCGTAGATATTGAATTTGATCAAATTCGAAATTTCTGGTCTCATTCGGTGCTGGAGTCGCAGGCGTACGAATGGAACACGATTTTTCAACATTCTTTCGAACAGAGAAACATCCAGTCCAAATTTTTTTGCGAGCTGGAATACGGTTGTTGACGGCTTCAGTTGTTGGTGATCTCCTGTATTAAATGAATGAAACTCGAATGTGAGTAGATGCCTTTAATATACGTTGTTAACGGGTGAGAAATCCTTAACCGATGAGAATGATATGCTCGCAATGGGGAGATAAGCAGCATACGATGTGTGACTCCAGAACTTCTGCTGCTTCTTCAACAACGACTATAAAAAATAAGAAGAAAAACAATCAACACCGCTGATGTAGGAGAAAGTGAAGAAACCACTGAGATCATCAACACGAACGTGTAAGAGAATTTTTAAAGCTTCGCGGAAGGACGAGTCAGCGAGCTGAAAAAGAGGATCTCAAGTGATGAAAAAATTGCAATTCTAGGAGCTGTATTTTTCGAGAGAGAACACGACAGCACAGAGTGAAATTACGTTCTACACAGCAATAAGAGGTCTGGGCTGATGGTAAACATTCTCGAACGTTTGAAAGGGGGGTTAACTCCCTTTCCAACTGACACTTGGGAGAATGCAGAATACCCTAGTATTTTCGGGAAAGCTCAAGGTGAACACTCTGAGATTTATGCTGAAACGTCAACAAAAAAAACTCACGAATTTTCGCTCGCATGTTCTGTACAAGAGAAATGTTCCGAGCAGCGCCTGTTGTAGTCATTCCAACGACGTCCAAGCACTGCATGTGCTGCAATAATGCCCCATCTTGGGCTTCCTTGTAACGTCCTACCAGCTCCTTGTATTTTTCTGCTTCTGTGTCGATTTTTCCATTCAAGGCTCGGATCAAAAGGTTCGCCCAATACCGATAAATCAACCAACGAGCTTTCAGCAAGTGAACATTGACCCATTTTTCTTCAGGGCCAACCAATGCTTCAGGTGGCTTCACCAAATCCAAGTTTGCCGGGACTTTCAAAAATGCGGAATCCGCTTGCACTTTAGCACTCGCAAGTTTCAAGCCTTCCAACCGCAGTTCCGCTTGCATCAACTTTAAACAAAAAAAAAGCGGGTTCCCTGGTTAACGTACATCGCATCGCATGTAAGCTAAACCCTTGATGGACCTTCGATCTGCAGTACATGCTTCAAAATATCCATGACGAAAAAACTTCACATGAGAAGCAGAATTTTGACTTTTGAGAAGAGACAAGAAACAGTCACTATGATATTGATACCGCGACAAAAGCCAATAATTCAAAGCTTACGTCATTTACATCGGAGAAGCGCCAACGACAGCACGAAGGAATACGGCCTATATAATACTGTACTATAAAAACAATGCTTGAAATAATCTCGTGAATTAGCACAAACCCGGATTTTTCCGGGACAAAGAATTTCTTGAGAAGTAAAAAATAAAATAAGTTGGGTACGGCTTATGATTTCCTCCAGAAGTAGAGCCACAATTCTAGAGATCGCTTTCATATTTTCGGGTTTCCTAGTCCTGTGGAAAATATAAACATGATCCAGCACTCTCCCATGAGGAGAAAAAAAAATTCAGGAAAATTGAAGCAAAAATTATGGAGAAGCCATATAAACAGAAGTGAATCATACCGGTTTCTGCTGCTGTTGGCTGTGGAGGAAATCGAAGGTCAAGGGACAGCGAAGGGAAACCCTTCATT